TCTGAATAGGAAGTCTGACCTTCAAGCTAAACAGAAAGTTGAGTTAGTTGGACCTTTTTTTGTTGCTTTCAATAACAAAGATGCTTTATGTTTTATCTTCAACATGAGGAAACGTTCAAATATAGCACCATCCATTTGTAGGGGTTTCGTGCGCAAGTTAAGTTTTGAGGAGTTGCTGTTGAACTTTGAAAAGGTAGAGACCCCGTATCACCTTTCCCTAACTTAGTGCCCTGCAGATGGGTTGCCATCCAAGATCTCCTGAGGGTTCCAGACGGGAAGAGATGATCTACATGAATTTAGGAAGCTGGTACGATGAGGAAAAGTTACCTCAAAGTGCACAGGTATGTCTCCGTGTTGGTCTTACCTTTGGAGCAGTAGTTGTGCCTATACAGGTAACTATCCTGAGGCTGCTGTTGCCACCTCACAATATAGTAGGACAGGTTGCCGTTGGGGTAAGTGGGAGGGTTCCATTTCACAATGAGCTGTGAGGAGGAGTTGGATGCTGAGATGACATCCAGAGGTATGGATGGCACTAGAAGAAAAGCAAGTCAACGATGAACCTTTCAATGTGTTTTTCCCAAGAGCTTATAATTAACTGAAGTCCATCAATAAATACAATTCTATTTGCAGTGCACAGCATACTCTTTCATTCCATTCTGGTGACACCCTCGAACACATCCCAGAAAAAAAACACCTGGGCATTTGGTCCCCAAGCCATATCCATTCCTTGGCTGTCCCTGTCTGGCCCGTGTGAGTTTAACTGGAAATTAGAAATCAAATGTAAATAAGTGCCCTGCAGGGGCAGGAGAAGAAGCCAAGTTCTTGAACTCTGAAAAGTTATGATGGTTTAAAGCAGAGGTCTCCAAACATGACAACTTTAAGATTTGTGGACATCAATGCCCAGAATTCCTCAGCCAGCATGTTTCAAAGCCGCAGCCCATAGCATCAGGGCTACATCAATTAGCTTGCTAAAATCACCTAGTACCCAAAGGGATAAATTAGCAGACTCGAAACCTACATTTTTTGAGAACACTCAAATCATTGTCAGCGAAGTTGAACAGCAACGAGAGATACCCAAGAAAAATAAATGTTTATCTTTTACTACCTTAAATTATGATCAGAAAATACAAACTCAGTGGCACTTTCTGCTTTTTGGTTTTACAAAATTCGTTATTTCTATTCTGGCCAATGCTACACCCAATTCCAACATATTGCGGCAAACATGAACATTTTAGCATTAATACACGCCATTGTTTTTCCAGAAACACTCAATACAAGCCCAATTTTACATATCCCATTCCAACTGGTCTCCTTGGCTCAGCTTAGATGGATAAACATCTATAATTCTGTCACCAAGGCAGATATTATAATCTAAGTCGCCTAAGAGTTTTCCAATGAGGTGGCACATGAATGACCTTCAGCAAATAAATAAATATTATTCCCACCCTCAGAAAGAACTTCATTCAAGATGATTAAATGCTGTTGGATATTTCCCTGGGTTGATTAATCGGACAATTATCACCTCTCCACAGTGCCCAACTTTGGATGCAATTAAATTCTGGCAGGCAGAAGTAGACTACCACCAGCCACCAACTTTGGACGTGTTGTTTTTTTTTTTGATATGCTAACAAGAAACAGAGCTCCCAAGTAAGCAAACTGAAAAGGACGAGTGCCAAGAACAACTATTCATCCATTAAAACCCTTTGGCACTGAAAATCAATTCCATATGACGGTGAGTACGCCCTCCGATTTCCCCCCTTCTGCAACAAACACTCTCCAAGTTCAGCATGGATGACTCCAAGAGGATCAGGTCATAGAATCCATTGGGCTAGAAGGGACCTTGGAGGTCTTCTAGTTCAACCCCCTGCTCCAGGCAGGAGACCTTATGGCATCCCAGGCAAATGGCCATCCAGTCTATTTTTGCAAGCCTCCAATGATGGAGTACTCACAACCTCTTGAGCCAAGCTGTTCTACTGATTAATTGCTTTCACCATCAGGAAATTTCTCCTTAGTTCTAGAATGGATCTCTCTTTTTGACAAGCTTCCACCAACTGCTTCTTGTCCTGTCCTCAGGTGCTTTGAGAGTAAATTGAATAACAGAATAACAGGGTTAGAAGGGACCTAGTCCAAGGAAACTAGAAACAGGAAACCCTGTACATTTCAGACAAATGGTTGTCCAATTTCTTCTTAAAAACCGCAAGTGTTGGGAGCACCCACAACCTCTGGAGCCAAGCTGTTCCACTGATTCATTGTTCTAACTGCCAGAAAAATTCTCCTAGGTTGCTTCTATCCTTGATTAGTTTCTATCCATTGTTTCTTGTCCAACCTTCAGGTGCTTTGGAGAATAGCTTGACTCCCTCTTCTCTATGGCAGCCCCTTAATATTGGAACGCTGCTATCATTATCACCCCTACTCCTTCTTTTCATTAAAGAACTTGACTCCCTCTTCTCTGTAACAGCTCCTCAAGTACTACAAGACTGCTATCACGTCACCCAATCTTTCTTTTTCAAAGGCTAGACATACCTAGTTCACTTAACAATTCATCTTACGGTTTAGCTTTCAGACCTGTCATCTTTGTTGCTCTTTCCTGCACATTTTCCAGGGTCTGTGTCTCTCTGTCTCTCTGTCTCTGTCTCTCTCTCTATCGATCGAGAGGATTCACAAGAGAAGGACCCCAAAACGTGCAAAGTCTTTGGGGTTTTCTGTCTGGCCCTTCAGTACTCCCAGATTCTGGAGTCACTCCAATTTTGATAGCATTCATCATTCAGACTGATAAACCATGATATTCTTGCAAATGATTCTATAACTCAACAGTTAATTTTTTTCCTCTTTTTTTTTTTTTTTACATCTATCACTACATTTTTCTTCCAAACTCTGAATTTTTGAATTACACAAAGCTTGGATGAATGATACATTGCAAAACTAACTGCGTTTTTTGGCCATCTGCTGGAAAATCTGTGCAACGTTTCCCATCCCAACAGAAGATGCCAAGCTACAAATTGAAGCTACTGCACAGATTTATTAAGAACGTCCCACCAGGACTTCCTAGGAAGAAAGCAGATTTATATCCTAGTATCTTTGCTTGTAGCCAAAAACTAATTATGCCAAAATACTTAGATTTATGGCTAGTTTAAATTTCATAGAAGACATCATGAATCACTTTTCCAAATGCAAGAGTCCTCCTTGCCCAATCGATGCCACCAGACAGAAACGCAATTCGTTTTTTATTTTGTCTTCACCCACTCTAATGACTTCTTACCTGCAGCTTTAGTGCGGATGTAGACAATCTCACTCTTCGCTCCGTGAGGGTGGTAGTTCTCCATCATAGTGAGCATGACGGCTTTGACATAAATTGCATATTGGGTCCATGGTTTCAGTGGCTGCAGTAAAATCCCTGGATTGTCCTCTTTATTTGAAGGCAAGTCCACGTCAACCATGTTCCAGCTATTAGAACCACAAGCGTCCTGCCCGTCATATTCTGTCACGTTCTTGAAGGCTCTGAAATGGACAAGCAAAGGAGCTAGCACATGTCCATCTGATAAAACAGCTCTCGTACTATTCTGATCAGAGTTGCTAAAAAGTGAAGGGAATTTCTCATCATTCCTATGGTGTGAAATAGCAATATACACAGACCCATAGTGCTTTACAGCACTCTCTGGGCAGTTTACAATGTCAACATATTGCCTCCAACAATCTGGGGCATTTTATCGACCTCAGAAGGATGGAAAGTATTCTGCTCACAACTTCCAATGTGTAGATTGCAACTCCCAAAATTCTCCATCTTGCACGCTGATTTCTGAAAATTCTGGTTATGTGGTCTATACAGTACCTCTCTGGAAGCTGCAAAGGTTGATAAATATTGCTAAAAAAACAAACAAACCCACACACATCCTCACTTTGGCTGTGGAGTAGCAATCTAGCTCTGCATACTCACGCTTCTTTGTAATAGACTGTGAAGCTAATCAAATCTCTGTAATCCTTAGGCCGATACTGTTCCCATGTCAGTTTGATCCGATTTTTCATTGTAGTGTTGGAAACAAATTTCAGGATGTGGCTTTCACCTGAAACACAAAAACAGCACACTTGGCTGAATTGCCACTAACACACAGGAATGGAATTTATTACCATGCTCATGAGAGAGAGAGAGGAGAGGAGAGGAGAGGAGAGGGAGAGAGAGAGAGAGAGAGAGAGAGAGAGATTGGTTCCTTGGTTTTACTCAAAAGTGGTTTTGCTCCTTCTTCTCTGATAAAACAAGACTGCAGCATGGGAATATGACCAATTCCTTTCCCAGCAGTAAATGGCTGGGCTGATCCAGATTTGATAGGGAAGGTAACCATTTCAAGACCAAGGTATCAGGTCCAAAAGTGAAGGTCCATTTAAACAGATTTATTGCTACTTGTGCCTATGCACAGGAATCTTCTCAACTAGTGATTAGCACCTGCTTGGAGTAAGAGAATTGGAATTCAAGGGGGGTTGGATTTAGTTCATTTGTGGCTATGAAGGGATTCTAGGCTGATTCCTCTTTTAACTCCATCCCAAGGGTTATTTCTTTTTTAAAAACATCATGTAGATCAGGGGTAGTCAACCTTGGCTTTTATGATTCGTGGACTTCAACTGGCTCAGGAATTCTGGGAGTTGAAGTCCACGAGTCATAAAAGAGCCAAGGTTGACTACCCCTGATATAGATCATGCAAAATGTACTGTCAGGGAGACACTTTTAATTTCGTTTTCCAAAAGCAAATATTAAACAACAGGAAGTGTTTCACAATGTTTTGAGCAAAAAAAAATTTTTCACACTATCCAACAAATGGCACATTTTGTTACATCTTTCATGTAACAAAATTTGAACCTTGAAAGGATGTATTTGTTCTTCTGAGCTTTTTTCTTACACCCGCAGGGGAAAAACCAGGTTATGTGTGACTCAATTTACCTATGCACAATACATTTCTGCAACCATCCATCCCCCCTCCTCAATTTTAGGCAAAGCCCATTAGCCAATCTAAGTTCACATGGTTGGCTTTAATCGGGCTGAATCTATTTTCAAAAGCCAAGTCTGGTCTTCATATCTTCAAAAGCTATCCGATTGAAAACAAGTTTGAATAGTTGTTTGTTTTGTAGATTGTGGGTGTTTGTTTTTAGAGAAGCTTAATTCTTGGCTTGGGAATCCACCATACAATTGGATTTTTCAGTTGCTTTTTGTTTGGAAAGAACAGTTTGCCAAATGTTTCAACCCTCTTCCATCCTGCACACATTTTAAAATCCATGTAGACAAATAAGCTTTTTTTTTTCCTTTTCTTTTTGTAAGAATAATAAAGAAACAAGGGAAGCCTAGCCCAGACCCTGATGGTAACATAGGAGAGACGGGCCAAAGCTTTTGTAACATCTCCAAGGCTGACAAATGGATGTGGGTGATGCCTCTTTGGTGTGAATACACAACCAACATGTGTATTTGGGAAACGGATCCCAGTTCCATATACAGAGAAAAAAGAGAGAGAGAGAATTCTTTACAAACATAACATCCTTAAGGTCTATTTTATATGCCAAATATGGAGAGACCATTTCAATAGCCTGCTCACCAATCATTGATCAGACTGATGCGCTATAAGCTTTGAATGAGCACACTGCTTCTACAAAGGAGCATAAGGCATTGAATTTTCAGGTTCTTCTAAAGAAGCTAGTTTTCTGAGCCCCACATCTGACTTGCAAATAATTCCCACCTATTTTACTAATTGAAGAACTATGTGTAAAATGTTGGGAGTGCAAATGAAAAGAGTGACTAAAACCCACACAAAAGAAACAACAGCAAAAATTCCTCAGCATCCCAAACTCCATTCTTTAAAGTCCTTAGTTTGTATTTGGGTTTTTCATGTGACTTCTTAGTTCTTAGCTTAACAGAAACTTTTATGGAATGGATGAAATAGAAGGACATTATTTATTAGGGATATGGAGCAATCCAGAATCGGTATGACTCAAGGAAATGGAGCAACTTGCTGAGGACCACCCAGCAGGTACCAAGTGCCTACAAGTGACTTTTTTCTGAAGTCTGGATCACCACAAACCTCCTGTTATTTAAGGTCAGAAAAAAAAGCATCTTCCATTTCTGGTTATCCCACCCCAACACAATGTCCTCACTAAACGTCTCACGTACAGGATGCTTTTTCCCCGTTGTTTCTCGGATTGATGTCGCCTTTACTTTGTCGATCTTTGGTTCCAGTAACTTCCTCCATTTGGTAAATTTCCGAAACGCACAATTTAGGATTAAAAGCAAAGTACATCTTCCCTTCTTTGATGGTCAGGTTATGATGGCTCCAGTCCCACAGTTGCTGCAAGTTTTGGTTGTCCAGCACATAAAACGAGTAATTCCTAAAAAGGAAATGTTTGGAAGCAAATCAGTCCACGTAAACAAAGGCACACACATTTTTCATTCTGCTTAGGGTACCCTTACAAAATTCGCACGATGACCGAAACCTTAGATCTGGCAAAAAGAATGGCAGCTACAGAACATCTCATGTAAAGCGTTAAACGGAAGCAACACCATCCCCAAGAATCTCAGCAGCAGGTTAACAAGACCTAATATAGGTCTCCAGGTTGTAAGTTGCAAACTGTTATTGCGTTAAGGCTGAAGAAGTGACAAACGTCTTCAGCCTTAAACAGTCTCCAGTCCTTGTTGGTTTCAGAGTCATCTTTTCCAGGAGCTTCTCAGAAGCAGAAATAGTTTGAAAGAAAGAAAACCTTAGAAAGAGCGCGGAGAAGAGCAGCAAGAATGATTACGGGTCTGGAGGCTAAACCGTATGATGAACGATTGAGGAAACTAAGTATGTCTAGCCTATCAAAGAGAAGGACTAGGGGGCTAGTAATGCCACTCTCTAAGTGGCATTAAGTAAGTCCACACCTAGAATACTGCAAGCAGTTTTGGTCACCACACTATAAAAAAGATGTTGAGACTCTAGAAAAAGTGCAGAGAAGAGCAACAAAGATGATTAGGAGACTGGAGGCTAAAACATAGGAAGAACGGTTGCAGGAACTGGGCATGGCTAGTCTAGTGAAGAGAAGGACGAGGGGGGACATATGATAACAGCGTTCCAATTTTTTCTATGCTTAAGAGACAAGAGGAACTTTCCAGGGTGGAAGAAAGCAACACTGCCCTTTACAACATATTCCATCACTCTCTGGAATTTCAAGAATGCAAAGCTGACCAAATTGCAGACAGAGAGGGAGGGGGGAAACAACGAGGTTGAGAATCTACCCTCATCCTGAAAGATAATCCTTTCAGGCTAGATAAATCAGACACAATGAGAGCTATTCCCATGACCTTGCCCCGGCCTTGTTCAAACAGTTTCCCCCCCAAATTCCTGTTTATTAACTACTGATGCAACCGGTATCTGGAAAGAATGGTTTCATTTGGAGGTAAAGAAAGCAGAGAAAGTGGCAATTTCCCAGGCTTAGGACTAAGGGCAGAACACTGTTCCCGTCTGTGGGATTCCAGCTGTACGTTCTCCCAAAATGATACAGCTCAATTCTTTTAAGTACTGGTAGTCCTCGACTTACAACAGTTCATTTAGGGACTGTCCAAAGTTACAACAGCCGTGGAAAAAAATGACGTGTGGCCATTTTTCACACTTACACCCACGGTCACGTGATCAAAATTCAGAATCTTGGCAACTGACTCGTGTTTATGACGGTGGCGGTGTCCTGAGGTCATGTGATCCCCATTTTGCGACCTTCTGACATGCAAAGTCAGTGGGAAATCCAGATTAATTTAACAACCGTGTTACTAACTTAACACCTTCAGTGATTCACTTATCAACTGCGGCAAGGAAGGTCATAAAATGGGGCAAAATTCGCTTTACAAGAAAAATTTTGGACTCCTTTGTGATCATAAGTCAAGGACTACTTGTACCCCCCTTTCTCTACCTTTGTGTCTTCTCAGAGGTATCTGAAATGGAATGATATGATCCAGTACCCCTGAGAAGGGAAGAAGATGGGTGTTGTAACCCAATTACTTCAGAAGACCGCTGAACTGGGGGAGAATGATGAAAACAATATGAAATTAGATGCTTATTCTGTGTTAGAGAACGTTAAGACCCCTTGTCCCTCCAAAAACAGCACCATCCTTTCAGCTCAGTTGAGCAAATACAAGGTGGCAAATCCAGTTTTGAGCAGGGTAACAAGTGAAAACATTTCAGAGACATCTTAACACACCCAAAGCTCACCCTCTGATTGAAGTTTTCCATAGATGATTTTCAGTAGCCTCCCGGCAGGGCTGCTGAACCATCCACAAGAGGACAACAAAGGAAATAATCTATGGATCAAGTCAATCTGCCTGCAGGTAACTCATGATGCATCTAGGGATCTTTTTGAAACCAAGGGCCATATTTGAAGGAGGGGCGGAACATATAAAAACAGGAAGTTCAAGAGTTGTTATTCAATTCCGTGAAGCTGAAGAGGGAGAGAACGGAGGGACAAGGTTCCAAAAGCATGACGTGGTCTTCAGCTTATACATTAGGGCAGTGTTTCTCAACCTTGGGAACTTGAATATTGGTTGACTTCAAGTCCCAGAATTGAAGTCCATCCATCTTCAGGTTCCCAAGGTTGAGACACACTGTATTAGGATTTTAATGCTTATTCTGTTAACTCTTAATAAGAACTTCAAGAACTTTTGTCCGAGAATGTTACGTTCAATGGCATGACTTCTTACGGTAGAAACAGGCTATCCTTACCCATCTAGTTGTTCCTCTCCATTAATATATCGCAGGTTCTTCAAAAAGGACAAGGACACCAAAGCATGAGAATGCCGGATCTTCACATATCCAGTCACCGTTTCTATCAACCCCATGAAATCCTCCAGCTCAGAGGCAATATTGTCTGTGGGAGGGGAAAAAAACCAAGAGGGAAGGGATGATAAAATCTCCATAGTTTCAAGATTTTTCTTTGCACACAATTAGCTTCATCGGCTTAAGAAAGGCCTTCTAAGAATGTCAACTCTCTGCTGTGTAACGCAACCTTGTGTGATTTACCTAGGAAAGTCAGGCAGCCGGGATGCCAAACTAAATGCCACTTCAATTTAATCTAGTTAATTTTTCGGCCAGTGCAATGGCCGTCCGTTCCCTTGAACGTTGGCTGCTAATGCCAGTGTCGCATTCTGAGCTTTCAACAGCTGATGTTTTGGCAAGTTACTCTTGGGCAGTTGTAAATCTAAGCCTTCAGGAAGCCACAACTCCTGTGATGTTCAGTGACAGATATAAACGTTACCGCATATTACGGCTAGCCAAAACTGTCCCATTGAGGAGAACCTCAACTCAAGTCTCAAGATAGCTTGACCATTCTAGGCAAGATAAGTGGGTGTTTTTCCTCCTCCACAAATGGAAACCTCAAAACAACTCCCACATTGGAGCTTATCTTCTCAGATGCCTCTGAAAACTCAGGACAAGAAGTAACAGATGGAAGTAGCAAAGGTGCTTTTCAAAGGGCAACCGGACTGACTTAGTTTTTTCTTGAAAATGTTTAGCTTCTCATTCAAGAAGCTTCTTCAGTTCTGAAGACAACTGAAGAAGCTTCTTGGATGAGAAGCTAGACATTTTCAAGAAAAAAAAATAAGAAGGTCCAGTTGCCTTTTGGAAAGAAGGTCCAGTTGCCTTTTGGGACAAGCATGACCTGGATGACTGAGAATCTCCATAGACATTTAACAGATGGAAGCTTATTAAAGAGAGATCCAATCTAGAATTAAGGATATAGTGAGGACAAATCATTTCCTTCCAGAAATTGTGTGCTCTATCTCTGGAGATTTCAAGAAGAGACTGGATAACCACATGTCTAGAATGTTATAGGATCTCCTGCTCGAGAAGGGCGTTAGACTAGAAGACCTCCAAGGTCCCTTCCAACTTTGTTATTCTGTAATATCCTTTTCCTGTTCAGTCACATTGTTAATAAATTAGAAGTAGATTAGCCCTTATAAAGCAGGGTCTACTTAACCATAATGTAGAAACCGGAGCAAACTTAGGTTCAAAGTTAAAAATTTCCACTAGGTGTATTTATATGCAATAATGGGCCAGAATTTAGCATTCTGCCTTAGTCAAGAGCACACTTATTATTATTCATATTTAATGCTTGCTCCCTCCTGCATACTTTCCGTACTTAATGGGTCTGTCTCAAAAACGCAGCCAGGTACTCTATCGTGACGTTAACTCTACCTCTATTTACTCTATCTTGTTCTTCTCTAACGAAGATGGAGTCAAAAGGCCAAAACAAAGAAGTGTTAACAGGAACAAGCCAGAGTACCTGTTCACACATGCCATAAGCAAGCCATCATTGGAAGTGTCTACATCTCTTAGTCCCATCTGCTTCCAGAAGAAACTGTTCAAGAGAAAGAGTCACCGGCATCCCCTCACTGACTGAGCGTTCCCTGTGAGAAGCCCGACTCTCGGTGCTTCTGTGATATACAATCCTTTTCAGTCGAATAAAGTTTCCCCGAGATTAAGCCATCCGAGGGGCCTCTTTGGGGAAATCGGAACAAACTCATATAAACGGGACAGCCCCTGGGTGAATGTTTACAACAGGCAGCTGAACAGAGAGCAGGCATTCTTTCCAGCCTCTTAAACGGATCAGTCTGTTTCTTAAAGAACTAAGTTCTTTGAGGAATTAAGGAATTTTGAAGTTTCCCAGAAACTGTGCTATAGCACCAACTTAAAAGAAAATCAAATTAGGTTATTTCTAGGTTGGTTCAGTGGCTCAAGCCAAGAAGGATGCTTTTTTTTTTTTTTAACCTACCTTGCAACAAGGCCCAATTTTTAAGCAGGTACTTCACCTCAGAAAGTTGGTTCTAGAAGTTTCGGTTCAGGCAAACGGCGACTTAACTTAGCCATGGATTGAAGGGTCAATGCAAGAGGCCCCAGACCAGCCGTCCCTCAGCCAGTGGGGTGGCTTGCAAGGTTGGGAATTGGGGAGGTTGCACTCTAAAATGTCTGAAGGAACCATACAGAGCAGCAACGAGGCTGCTTGGCTTAAAGCAGGGGAAGATAACAGGTGGTCCCCAAAGCAGGGCCAGAGACAGCCCCATAGCCTCTGTGGGGTTCTAACTGATGAAATGGGTGTGTTATCAGCCTTCAAATCAAATGAGAGTTCTTCTTCTTCAGATTGGGCCAATTGTGTTCCTTCTGGGGAGGGAGGGAGGGAGGGAGAGAGAGAGAGAGAAAAAGAGAAAGAAAGAAAGAGAGAAAGAAAGAGAGAAAGAGAGAAAGAAAGAAAGAAAGAAGGAAAAGAAAGAAAGAAAGAGAAAGAAAGAAAGAAGGAAAAGAAAGAGAAAGAAAGAAAGAAAGAAAGAAAGAAAGAAAGAAAGAAAGAAAGAAAGAAAGAAAAAAGAAAGAAAGAGAAAGAAAGAAGGAAGGAAGGAAGGAAGGAAGGAAGGAAAAGAAAGAGAAAGAAAGAAAGAAAGAAAGGAAGGAAGGAAGGAAGGAAGGAAGGAAGGAAGGAAGGA